ACAAATTTCTATAGTTGTAGAACCATTTTGCTCAAAAAAATTGTTGGAAAACACAACACAAAATTGTTTAGGCAAATACCTATTTGCCAAAAAAAAAAAAAAAAAATCCCTTCAAAACTCCAATGTTCAGGGTTCTTCCCTTCACTACAACTGTGTACCCTTGTGCAATTACAGCTCCAAGGTTTCTTTAAATCCACTCAATTTTACCTAAAAGATAAAAAAAAAAAGATTCTTGAAAAAAATCATGTTTTTTTTGTTAAATACTGATAAAGATTGGTTTTTTTATGAGTTTTGATCAGATTCAGTGTGGAAAAAACACTCAATTCCACCCAGAAGAAGGATGAGAAAAAAGATTCTTGAAAATTATGTTTTTTTTTGTTTTTGTGAAATATTGATAAAGATTGCTTTTTTATGAGTTTTGATCAAATTGTGTGGAAAATAACACTCAGTTGCACCCAGAAGAAGGATGAGAAAAAGATTCTTGAAAATTGTGTTATTTTGGTTTTTGTTTATTGATAAAGATTGCTTTTTTATGAGTTTTGATCAAATCGTGTGTGGAAAAACCACTCAATTCCACCCAGAAGAAGGATGAGAAAAAAGATTCTTGAAAATTGTTTTTTTTTGTTAAATAGTGATAAAGATTGTTCTTTTATGAATTTTGATTGAATTTTTGTTGGAAAATTGTAGGTTGGTTGTGAAAATGTCTGCAATGGCCACCAAGAATGCAGGAAGAGCAATGGATTCATTAGTAGTGAAGCCTCCAGCACACCCCACTTATGATTTAAAGGGTGTTATTCAACTTGCCCTCTCTGAAGATGCTGGGGATTTAGGTTTGGTTTTAACCTCATTTCTTCTTCTTTTTTTGGTGTTATGTTGTCAAATGTGTTGTGCTTGGTTTTTATGTTTGTGGAAATAATAAGCTAATTGTGAACTTTTTGTATAATTGAGAGTTGCTTATGAAGTTTGATTATAGTTTTTTTTTTTTTTGTGTAGTTCAAGTTTGTGTTCTTAGAAAGCATTAGGGTAGGGGTGGGGGTGGGGAACTAATTCGGATTCTTTGTGTTCTTAGTAAGCATACAACATGAAGATCCACATTTCTAAATAATATGTAATCACATGCACTATCATCAGTGTAATTTGAGTACTGAATTTTAAAATTCTATTTATTAAATCTATTCTTGTGCGAAATGCAGGAGATGTGTCTTGTAAGGCGACAATTCCTGTTGACTTGGAATCCGAAGCTTACTTTATAGCAAAGGAAGATGGGATTGTAGCAGGAATTGCACTTGCTGAGATGATATTCGCGGAAGTTGATTCTTCACTAAAGGTATTGATTTTTTCAATTCGGTTGTTGTGGTAACTGGTATTTCTACCCAAATTTATAAAGGGTAATGTTTAATTTTTTCATGTACTCATTATCAGATGGAGTGGTTTATAAAGGATGGTGATAAAGTTCATAAAGGCTTGAAATTTGGCAAAGTACAAGGTAAACTAAATGTGAGGAATGCTTAATTACTAATGAGTTTTTGACATGTTAATATACTTTGCCCGACTTCTGTAGGAAAGGCTCACAACATTGTTATAGCTGAGAGGGTGGTTCTCAATTTTATGCAAAGAATGAGTGGAATAGCTACGCTAACTAAGGTGTGTTTGTCCTCGTGTAAGTAGCTCATCATTAATAAAGATCTGGAAATATATTGTCATGAATGAAATGGTAATTGTCATTGATGAGTTGGTATCAGTATTCCAAGTGCAAGTCTGAGACTGATCAATTGTTCTATGTCTGAAATTACTGAGTTTCGGTGTAGAACATGTGTTGATCCATATTTATACATTCCTCTGTGATATATAAGCTACCATCGTAGCGAAGCAACTTGCTAAATTCATTGTTTTCGTTTTTCTATGAGAATTGGTCTTGGCCTGTGGTAATTTTTCTCCATCTACCAGAAAGTCAAGATTTCAAGTGTTGCAAACAGATTCCATGTGTTTGTTATAAGACTTGTGAGAATTCACTCTTCTATGACCTTAGATGGTGTGCCTGAGCTACATAATGGAAACGATTTTACAATCAGTCTATGAGAAAGAGTCCTCTGATTAATACGTAACAAACAATAGTTGCAAATACACACGCAAACACAAAACTATACACATGCCATTTTCTAAACTTCTGTAGACGAAAATAAACTAACTAATGTGAGGTTCAACTAAAGCATGTTAGCCAAAGATGTCATGGGGTTAAATTTCTTTCCTCTGTAGAAGTGATTAGAAGAGACTTAATTTTTTTTATATTTGCAGGCAATGGCAGATGCTGCAAACCCTGCTTACATCTTGGAGACTAGGAAGACGGCACCAGGATTACGTTTGGTGGATAAATGGGCGGTAAAGATCTACTCACCAATGTCATCCACTTTGGAGAGGCTAACATTTATGCTTTATCTTGGCTAATTTTTTACTTGGCTTTAACTAAAGGTATTGATCGGTGGGGGTAAGAACCACAGAATGGGCTTATTTGATATGGTAATGATAAAAGACAATCACATATCTGCTGCTGGAGGTGTCAGCAAAGCTCTAGAATCTGTGGATCAGTATTTGGAGCAAAATAAACTGCAAATGGGGGTTGAGGTTGGATTAAATTCTTCTATATGTTTTTTGATCTAAGTCGTTACCTTGTAAATTTATGGTTTGAACATTTGATATGTTTATTTTGACCTGACAGTTCAATTCTATTTTGTTTGGACTCCCCACAAATTGCCAACACACCTGTGTTAGATCCTTAAAAACTACACTACTTTTTGAGGAAACATACACCCGGCAACTAGTTTGGGATTGAAGCGTGATTGATTGATTGATATTGTGCAGTCTTAAACAAAACTAAGTTATCTAATAGGCCACTGATCCCCCTCCCCCTCCCTCTTTTCCGCTCCCCCAAAGACCAAATTACCAAGTAGGTTGCATCGTGCAAATTGTCTGATTTATGACACTCAAATTCACGTTATGGTATTTGGAGATAGAGTCACGAGCCTTTAAAATATGTTCAATTTGTGGTAATTCTTGGCAGAGCTCTAAACCTTTTTTCCTATCCAACAGGTTGAAACCAGGACGCTTGCAGAAGTACATGAGGTTCTAGAATATGCATCTCAAACGAAAACTTCATTGACTAGGATAATGCTGGACAATATGGTTATTCCATTATCTAACGGGGATGTTGAGGTATCCATGCTTAAGGAGGCTGTAGATTTGATTAAGGGGAAGTTTGAGACCGAGGTGACACTTGATTTCATTTTCATTTTTGACTGCTTCGCACAAATGTCAGCATATAGAAGATTACTGTGATGCAATGCCTTGACTTTTCTCAGTTGTAAGATACTCATTATTGGTCACATGTGAATTTTCTAAAGGCAAGATACAAAGTATTGTTTTCTTAGCCATATCATATTGTCATAGACACAATGCAAGAAATGAAGCAATTGGACACCTGGTATATTCCTCCAAATAGTTTAAGTATCATCTGGTTTATCTAGATCAACACTTCGCCTCAGCAGTGTGATCTAACGAGTGCACTCATTCTGACTGAATTCGTTAAGTCAAAAGGAAGGAAAAAGAAACCTTCAGACTAAAAGGCGGGGACTTTTTTACCTAATGGAGAGTTGAAAGGAAGCAAGAACATATCATGTCACTTTTATCTGCTTTAAATGAAGACATCTAAGCCCGATATATAGCCTGGTTCTGATACTGGCAAAAAGACGAGTATAGATTGTTACTTGCCCCTATTGTTCCTTCATGCACCAAAGAGGTCCAAGTCTTCATGTCATTTTGCTAGATCCTTTTTATCAATTTAAACATGTAAAGAGCATAGCAGTCGCATGGAAGCTGATCTTTTGATAAAACCTCCATTCACAACTCACAATATAGCACTGTTTGGCTTTCCTGTTTATCATTTTTGTGAAGTATATCTTGTGATGGCATGATGTTTTGGCTATAATTGTGGCAGGCTTCAGGAAATGTTACCCTTGAAACAGTGCACGCAATTGGACAAACTGGTGTTACCTACATTTCGAGGTATGCATTTCACTCTTTCTGTTTCAGAAGATACATGGATCACTAGAATACTTGAGGGATTAAGTTGTGGACTTCTCGATTATTTATATGATTAACAAAATCTTCACTTATAAGGCATAATTTCCTTGGATTGAATTCTAAAATTTATTGGAATATTAGGCTGCTGTATCTCTCTTTTAAGGAGTGGATTTCATATTAGTATTCAAATGGAAACATGATAAGTGAGGATTCATATAGCCGACCTCAACTCGAGACGTAGTTTGTTGTTTGGATATCATACCGGAGAAAGTCTTAATTTTTGTTCAATCCAGTCGTAATATTTTGATTAAAGTATCTGTCTTTTCTTTTTAGTCGCATTTGTAGTAGGCACACGAAGGTTTGTTATGATACTTATTTCTTACATTTTTGAATGTTTGCAGCGGTGCCTTAACGCATTCTGTGAAAGCACTTGACATTTCTCTGAAAATCGACACAGAGCTCGCCCTTGAAGTTGGACGACGTACAAAACGAGCATGACCAACATTTACAGCTTGTTGTAGACTCAAAAGAGTAGAAGCAGCAGTATAGAAAGTGCAAATAAGATTCATTATACTAATTCAAAGCACCAGTGTTCAATCAAACAAAAAGATATAAGTTTCTGGAATATCATGATGGCTTTCTTCCAATGTTACTGTTTTTGAGTTGGTATCTTACCTATAGCTTGCTGTCATATTTCATAAACTTGATACAATGAAGAAACTTGATTTATAAGCTTGGTGTGTGTAAGGTTGTGCTTCTATTGGAAACAGACTCTCTACCTCTTTAAGGTAGGGATATGTAAAGTTGTGTTGTTCTTTTATAGCTCTTTTCCATCCTCTGAAATATTCGATGCACTATATGTTTAGAATCAAGATGAAGGAGAAACAGATGGCGCAAAAATCAAACGAAGAATAGGAAGCAAGAAAGTAAACCATGGCTAGGATAAATTGATTCATACATTGTCTACTTTGTAGATTTTACATTGGCCTGTACTTCAAGCTGGAAACCTTCATGTTAAAACAAGAATGCCTAAACTTTTAACCTTAACAGTAAAACAATGTAAACGACGAGAAAAGGGGAAAACTTGATCTGAAGAATTACAACACTTGCTTCTTCAATTTCTATAAGCAATTCCCTCAAGGGAAGTGATAAGAGCCAAAAAAAGAATCAAATGCAAATGCAAGGAAAGGGTAAGAAAGAACAGTCCAGTGAACAAAACTGATCATGCTGCTGCTGCCTTCTTTCTAACGAAACGTTCTAAAGATTTTGGAAGCTGAGTTTCCTCGGTGGGTTTCCTCTTATTCGTGTGTTGCTCCAAGAAAGGTTTCTTAGCTTTTTCAACAGCTTCTTGCTTCTTCTTTGCAATCTTACTTGGCTTGCTTCTACCTTTTGTTTTCTTCTTCATATGAATATTTTTAGCTTCCTCGATAGCAGCTTCCATTTCTGCTTCTCTATCCTCCTTTGATGGCTTTTCCTTCTTCCTTTCTGGTCGCACTGAACCAATCTTTGTTGGATCCAACATGATAGTCTCTGGAGGGAGTTTATCAAGAAGAGAGCGGATTTCCTTCTCTCGTCTTTGTTTAGATGTTTCAAATGGATTTGCCACCCAAGAATCAAAGTTGGGTTCTCCAGATCCTGGAATTAAGATAGAAGACCAACCCATTGAGTGTCCTATGCCTAGAACATCTTCGTATGGTCTGAATGTCACCTTCTTTACTTGGTATCCTTTTGCAACAGAGTGGGTCATATAACGGCTATAATTCTGGGATCCAGAAAGATCTCCATAAACTTGTACAAAAGATCCGGTTGCAGTAGCAAGTAAACCTTTTTGACTAAAATCCAAGGACTTGCAGTGACCTGTTAATGTTTGTAGAACCTCAAACTTTCTCAAATCCCAAATCTTTATTTTCCTCTCCATACCAGCAGTTGCCATTAGATGTCCATTAGGATGGAATGCCAGAGCCGTGACTGGTCCAGGATGACAAAGCATCTTCACAAGTGGTGCAGCACTTGTAGGCTTCCACATACTGACTGTGCCACCAGAATGGCCCACAGCAACCACACCATTAAAGGGATTTACTTGCATGACATCAGTACGTCCCAAGCCAGTTCGAACATTAGCTACCATCTGTCCAGTGGTAACATCCTGATAATGCAGCTGACCAAATTTGTTTATAGAAGCCAAAAGGAAGTGATTCCTTAAAAACTGAAGCTTTAGCACAGCACCATGTTCCTGGAATTTAAGAAAGATCATATGGTAACTCCATTTGTACTTGCTAATTGGTTAAAAACCTAAGCAATAGGGAAATGCAAAAGATAAATAAGCATGCATTTGTTACGACAATAGCATCCTGAAATAACAATAGACAACATGGAATCCATAAAATTTTCTTTTCTAATTATAAAGGTAACATTACTATAAAGAACAATTCCCTTTTCTTTGACGTAAAAAGACAGCAATAAAAGCAAAGTTTCTTGCAACTGCCCAAAGGAACAGAAGACATGCACTGTGAAGAGTTTTATTTTTAAAACGAAGAAGAGTTTAGAAGAACAAGAAACAAGTACCAAGTAAACACAGAATAGCTGACACCTGCCTCTTCAACCATTACCATAGTTTAAAAAAAGTGTAAATAATGCACCAGCTGAATATTCGTGGAAAATTGGAGGTATTAGAAGGGCACACATACTATAGAACACAAGTTGTAACAACTATACATGTAATGATCTAAACTGTCTAGACAACATAAGGCACACGGCATTTACAGGTCAAACTAACCTTCATGCAGTGGAGCTCCGTGCCTTCTCTATTGTATATATATGGGTACCTGTGACATGGCAGATATTTAGGTTCACCAAACAAAATCTGCCAAATTTGTGATGGACACTAATTAAAGGATAAATTCTATGAATTGAAAGAATGTTGGAACGTGGAATATAAAAGGACATGCACAAAATTGCTGACGAAATTATTGAGCTTCGCAGAGGATCCAGCAGTAAAATTCAAATGGACACAAGAGAGAAGGAAATGCTAAAACAAGTTCATCTGAAAGTCATCTTTTCACATCCAGATTCAAACCAATTTTGAGATCCATGTGAACATTTAAGAAGAGCATAGGAACTTACTTAATCTCTACACCCGGTGAAACATAACCAAAGGAATAGAGGGCCTTTGAAACCCTTCTTATAACACATTACAATCAAGAAATTTGGACATAAAATGAGTCTTACTTCTTCTGAGCAGCAGCGAAAAACAGTTCATTATGCAAGAATACTACATCACGCACTGTTTCCCTGACCTGCAGTAGAAACATAAGCTATAAGCAAACCTGAGCCTAAGAAACTGTGAGGAACCACATAATGCAAATGTAATACAAGATGGGTTTTTTTTTTCTATTTAAAAAAAAATGCCAATGTAATACAAGACTTCATTTCAATGATGTTGTGTTATAGGATAAAATTATGCTGACACTTCTTCTCGATAAACTAAGTTTGATATGTGATTATGAAATTAATGTTACTAAACTGTGTAGCTGCAAGCTAAGAATACCCCATGTTAAACAGACTATTAAGTGTGACAGACATCCTTGAAACCTCTCAAAGTAAGATCCTTGACCCCTTTATGAAGTATAACAATAACATCAATATGCTTGCTTTATTTGATATTTTTCGAGAATAAATCAAACAACAATAAATACCTGTAGTTCTTTAATGGCGCTCATGTTTTTCATATCTACAATAGCAATGTGACCCTTGCGTCCAGCTGCAGCCATGTAGCGACCGCTAGGGGTGAATTCAAGAGTGTAAGGACCAAAATCTGCAAAATACAAGTCAACTGATGTGAAACAGTGAAACTACATTAAACCATAATCTATGGAAAGCATAAAAAAGCAAATGCCAGACAGGAGACACAGAAAGGACTTGACTTGAAAGCTATTGAAATATGGAAATTTTTAAAACCTCCCATAGCATGTTATGAATCTCACCCCAACACAGTTCCCATTGCCAACGACTGTTAAGGACTGTTTATCAACAACCTATGCATTAGTCCGTGCATATTGCCCCCACAAGCAAAGCAAGGTTTGATGACAAAACCTAGTCCTCATATTCGACCATCTAAGTGAAGTTTGTATTGAGAGGACAAATGAATCACTTTATCATCAAAAGTTAATAAGATGGATGATGCAGATTAATCATCGAATATCCGTACTGGTTAAATATCAAGCACAAAAAAAATGAGGAGAAGATTCAAAGGTAGGGAAAGAACTGAAAATAAACAAGCAGAAGAATACCACCATCACTTATTTGAGAAAACTGAGTATTAAATGAAGTATATAGCATGAATACTTCAGACCAAACATTTTATAACTATTTCAAAATTCTTTGATAAAGCAAAATAAGTAAGGTTTTCATCTTCATCGGCTTCCATTAGTGAGGCTTTTACTAAGATTCAAAGAATTGTCTGAGGAAAATCTCAGATGTAATGATGAGAAATGACTTAAAGAAGTTACAGTTGCTAGGGATGAAGCATATAACGTTTCACTATTCTGCTTGCAAGTTTAAATGGATAAGCATGCAGGACATGACAAAATTCCATGATCATCAAAATGAAAATGAAACAAAGACCAGCAACTTTACATCTTTTTCAGCAGTTATATATAAGCAAAATCTTCCAAAGTCTTAACCTGGTAAGACAATATCAAATTGTTTCCTAGAGCTCAAAATGTCAACTTCACTGGCAATTGCGTCCTGCTTTATTCTCCATGTCTTCTCAATACCATCACCCTCTAGATAACCACCCTCACTTGGCATAAGCCACTGACAAAAGCAGAAGAGTTAGAGATTCAAACAAATCTCGATGACAGGCATAAAATTGTACGCAGTTGTTAAATAAATTTCAAGTGGTTAACAGAGGCAACTTAATATATGCTATTTGACCTAGGTTTTCTGCAATTAAGTTTAATGAAAAATACAACCAACAGAAAGAGAACAATCTGGTGCAGGTGGGTGGGTCCACTGGGGTGGAAGGAGGAAGCAGTAAGGGCAGTAGAATACATCTACTAGTTACAACGTGAGAAACAAAAATAGTGATATGCTTCACCAATATTATGTAGATGCCTAGAAAATTAAGTTAAACTATCAGAACATAGTCTAGACACCTTCTCAGCCTTCGCAGCAGCTGCTGCAGATTTTCCAAATAACTCTTCTTGCACAACAAGCTGACCCTGTAATTTTTTATCTTTCAAATCCTGCAAATTATTAGAAGTAGCTCTTTAGCATATGATCATCAAGGAAAAGAAAAACTAACCAGAATCAAAGTTAAAGTTAAAAGAAAGTTTAGAAATCTTAACAAACTTCAGTACCTTCAAATTCGCTCCTTCGCCTCTAAGGTATTTCTTTTTCTTCATATCCATCTCTTCAGAAATGACCTGCCAAATAAGATATCGAAAAGAATCACTAGGCAGTTGAGTAAGAATAAGAAAGCAAATGATCAAGTCCTAAACAGTGGCGTAGGCACATGTATGCTAAGGGTGTCCAATTGGACACCCTTCGTCGAAAAAATATACGCATATACAAGTAAAATGACACACGAAGTGATTAAAGAACATATTTTGGACACCCTAGACATAATAGGTTGTTATAGCCTAGTGGTTTAAGATGTCTTGAATGTGTGTTTAGACATCTTTAATGAGTCAGTGCTCGTGTGTTCAAATCTCACTTAGAACAATTTTTTTCCCTTTTTAAAAAGAGCTTTTGTTGTTTAATTTTTGGACCCTCTTCGTGAAATTTCAGGCTCTGCCACTGGTCCTAAAGCTTGTTATTCATATTGATGTGCTTGATACTTCTAATCAAGAAATCTTGGATCTAATAGTGCGGTGGACAGAGCAAACTTGTAGGAACAGATCATTAAGTTTCAACATGCAATAGCTCAAGTTTCTAACACTAAGGTCCAATACTATTGTAACGAAAGCAAAGTCCAGAAATATACTAAAACATGGAACAAATTTCCTCTTCTCGAAATAAGCATAAATCGAACAAAACAGAACAATTCTATGTTGATAATGATCATAATTCATAACCACCATATATAACCCATAGTTTAGCCCATTCTAACTACTATTTCCTAAAATTCAAAATTGTATCAGTTTCCTTCTAATTACCTCTCGACATTAGCTAAAAGCTTGTTATTTTACACACAACGCACTCACAGATTCTGATGAAGGAACTCATTCCACTACTTCTAACATTCAAATTAGCTCGGTTTGTTAGAATGCAAGCAAGAATACAAATTACACACCAAACCCCTTAAAAGAAGAACTGTATTAGTCAACTATCCGCCGCGTTTAATCAATAACAACATCTCATTCATCCAATGCAGATATCAAAAGAACAAAAGATACAGAAATTATAATTGTAATAAGTTGCCAAGAACAAATTTTTCTAACACTTAATTCAAAAAAATCAACTTTCTCATCTACCCTTTACGCCATTTTGTCTGTAAATTTGAAAAGTAGTATAAAAAAAAGAACCACCTCATCTGTAGCAGGAATACTCTCCGTATTGTCCACCTTCACCACCATCTTCGCTCTTGAAAATTTCCTCCGAAGCTATGTGAAGGGAAAATAAATTAGTTGAGATTACGGTGGAGCTCCGCCGTCGAAGAACCACCGGAAATTGACGACGGCAAGGGTTTAGGGTTTTAGGTTTTTGGGAGTAAAGGGTATAAACTACTAGTACTAGTAATAATAAAACAAGAAATAAAATAATATAAACCAAACAAGCCCTTAGCTTTCTTCACATAACACTTTTGCCCTTATACTTCTAATTATACCTCTTAACTATCTTCTTCTTTTTTTAATCTGAAGTGATTTATCGAATTATACTGTATAGTTTTTCTTCGCGATTAATGCTTTCATGATACTGTTGTGATGTGGTAAATTTTTGAAACTATGCTCCTATCTCAGGAGCTCGAGCAAATAGTATATAATGTATCGTATAACTTCGTCATGTATACTGATTGATATAATAATTACGATAAACAAATTAAGCGTATGGTTATGAAAAATATCTATTCAATACATATCCTACTAATGTGTGTTAACACCTTTATTTATAAAAATAACATTTTGGACTTGACTTTTGTCAATTTTTGGGTATTTTGACTATTAAAATACTAGCATAATTGCTATCATGTTAACTACTACAAAAATATATCTCATCAATTTAATTATGATGGCCCAATAGATGAATGGGTTGGTCCATTTTTAGTCCATTACATATTTGATGTTTCAATTAAAAGCTAATCAACTTTTAGTGCATCACATGGGCTGATCTTGCAAAATTTGCTTTCAATAATTGAGTTGCTTTTAATTCAATGTTCAATTTGTAAATTTCAGTAAAATATTAGTAGAAGATACTAAGCTAGATTAAGTAGATAAATTTGATGAAATAAAAGTATTTGGGTTTTGTATTGGTTTTTTTTATTCTTGCATAAAGCATTTTGTCGATTACAACATCCTTCATTTATGAGTGTCTTGATATCCATCGGGGTTAAGTTTTCCTTCTCTATAGTAGTATTGTGACATTTGAAATTGCTTGTCTTGATCGAGTCATTAAGGAGGGAGCTAACATAAAAAAAAATTACACAATTAATGGAGTTTAACTTATTATAATATGTTGGTTATTATTTTTAGTAGGTTATCAATTGACGCTTGTCATAAAAATCTAGTTGCACTAAGTAACAACAAAATTATCGACATATAACTAGAAAATCACAAATTAAGTCGTGAAAATTAAACAACTTCTTGTAAAAATGTCACATAAAGTTGCATATAATCAACACAATATGATATGACCTTTCTTGAAATAACGCATAAAGCAAAAAATTTAATAGATCAAATTGTCATTCTTACGTTATAAAACAAATTTATCGTATAAAAATTATTTACACAATATATAAAACTTAAACTCTTACAAAATTGAGTGCTTATTTATTAGAAAAAATAAAAGAAACTCTAAGCTAAGATTATTCTTGTGACTTATTCACCAAAATTAGGCTGCTACAAATCTATTTTTTCTTTAGTAAAACTTTTTCTAATAGTCAAAAAAACTCAAATAGCCACCTACCCATTAAAATCAAAGATCTATGCAATTAAAAATCCTTATTTGGCTGTTTTTTTCCCTATTAATGTTCTTCTCTTCTTTCTTTTTTTTCATGGGACCAACATTTACATCTAAGTCGATTGAGAAATATACCAACTAATGAAAAAGAAATATATTTCCAGAATTGGCAAATAAGTATAGGAAAATGAAATGACAGATAGCTTTATTTGAGTCCCTTTTTTGAAAGTCAAAATCATGAAACAAAATTGTAGACCACCACTTTACTTTATGTAAATGTATAATAATAATAATAATTTAAAGAAATGATATTAATTTTTTTTATAATATATAAATATATCATGTCTCAACTAATAATTATGTTCTTCAATTTTGAATATTTGTATAAAATTAAATAGGTAGACACATGTGTCATACATGACATAATACACATAGAATACGATGTAGGTCACAATAATTGACCACGTACGATGCCACACGAGACACGTATATTTATTTATTCAATTTTATACAAATTTAGATATCTATTTGTGTATATTCAAAACTGAAAGAAATAAATTAAAACAGAAGCCAAATTACAAAGACACATTTATCCAGTATACCTTAATTTTTTTTTATTACATTCATTTTACTTATTATCTATATATAGACTTAGATTTAGATTCCAAGCAAACTAAGGATAAGTTTTTTACCCAATTAATTTCTTGGATGGAATCATTAGATTTAGAGGATAAAATTCAATCTTCTATGAGCACTAGAAAGAATTCCACTGCAACTTTATATTTGTTAATTAAAACATTTAGTCAACAAGTCAAATGATTGCTACAGATTGGGCAACTTACTTTTGTCCTGAAATGTTTAAACTCTATTTAGATTTTACTACACATTATTAAAAAAAAAAAAAAATTAGCAATGAATAATTTTTGTCGCTAAACAATAAAAATTTATCACTAATCCTTTAATGATATATAAAAAAATTATATTAGTTACAGACTATTTAGAAACAAATTAATCAGTTCTATAGATTTTTCTTTCATTTAAATAAATTTACTTTAAATATTGGCTCTAATAAATGTAGGTGGGTGCTTGCTGGTGGATCTAGAAAAGTCATTTGATTTGCAATTCTTAGATACACCTAAAAAAAAAAGTTATTGAAATGAGAAATTATAATAAATACCCTAATACACCCACATGGGAATATTTGACCAAACAAGATAACTAGCCCATGCTTAATGAAATAAAATAATTCTATGTATGGGTAGAGAAAGAGGAAAAAGGTTGAAAGGTAAAGAAAAAGAAATGAAAATGTTGAAAATAATAATTCAAAAGGCTTGTATTAGGATGACTTAGATATATTTCTTAATCAAATAAACTAGTTCACATAATGTATTTTAATATGATTACTCTAATCATTTCATTTCATGTGACACGATTTTGAATATGAAAATCAAAATATTTAATTTTTAATAAGAATTTGTATATACATTTTTTAAAAGTTTTTGAAACTAAGTTATTTAAAAAAAATATTATAAGTCGTAATAATTATAATTCATAATATTTTTTAAATATGGTAAGAAAAATCTCGTTGAACCCCCAAATAGTGATGTTTTACTACATAAATCATAAAAACAAGAATACTGCTTAATAATAGTTTCTAAATAATACTTCATCCATCTCAATTCAATGTAATATTTTAAAATAGTTATTTTAAATTATACGTCATTTAAAAGTTGAAGACAAACATCTCAATCATAGAATAATATTATAGAGATGATATATAAACAAAGTACTTATTTAACAAAGAAAAATTATATTATAAGACACAATAAGAATAAAATAATCAAAACTTCGTTCAAATTGATACTTTAATAAGAAATATGTAAAAGAGAAACACGATAAATAATTTGAAATAACAGGTCAAATGCATAGTTATTTAGGGTTGTGGAGGGCGTGGGGTTTCAATTCACGAGGAAGCAGGAATTTAGTAAGGCTATTTGAAGACATTAAAAAGAATAAATGTACTTTAATAGGACCCATTTGTAACACTAAATTGACAAAACATATAATATAAAACAACTTGTAGAAAAAAAAAAAGTTGCACAAAATACCAATGTCCTCCACATGGTAATGAGTCATGAATGATCATGAAGATGGATAATTTTATTTGTGCTCTAATTTTAGTGTTCAAAGAATGTGGAGTTTCATGGGGTAGGGAGAAATCTTCTCTTATCCTTTTTATGTTTCTCTTCGTATCGAGATAAGTTTATGCGTATTTTAACTGATCAAAATTTATTATTCTTTTTTATAATAATAATGTCGAGACTAACTTGCGTTTACTTCGATTGTTTAGCTATATGTATAATCTCTTAGTACAAATATCAATAACTCGATAATATTTTCAGTCAACTTGCACGTCCATCAAATATCTTTCACTCAAAAATACTTGTTACTATATCTATTAGCAAAGATATATATATAAGTAATTTAACAATATTTCAAATAAGTTTATATGCATTTTGATTATTCTATCAGTTATCTAGATATATCGAATATGATGTGCCAAGAAAATTATCTAATATTTTGTATATATTACAATTGGAACCCTAATTTTTAAGATTTACACCAATCACTGTATTGACCAAAGACCACTTTGCCAAAAATATATCCTTTCAATTCCTTAGTTGTAATGACATGAAATGTTGAAGAAATGATGTGTAACCTTTTTTTGTTTGTATAAAATAAAACTTTTTGTGGGGTGCTCACCTTAGCTTACACCTAACCTCCTAGAATCCTAAGCAATATATTTGATTTTTTACTTCTCAACTCAAATCCCAACAAAAAGTAGGGAACAAATTGACAACTTCCAAGTTATTATGTGAAAGAGAAAAAATTGCACAAAGGGGATGGAATCCCACAAGTTATGTCACCCAAACAAATATAGTGAAAATGAAGTGGATCGAGATTAATGAGATCTCAGTTTTAAGTTTTAGCAGAGATAAGAAATAATACTTTATTCAAACTTTAATAAATAGAGTTATTCGATGTTGATCATGTTGCTGGTGAATGATGATAAATACATAAAAGTCTAGATATATTCAAGGTGATTCGAACACTACGATTATATAAAAATAAATTTGTGAAATTAAGGAATTTTTTTTATGAATTATTAATCAAGAAAACTCCAAGAGGAAAAAGAGTATAAGAAAAGGGGCAAGAAATAGAAGGGAAAAAATAGGAAAAGGACACATAAAAGGAAATTAGAGCACACATAACTTGACAGTTGACACATAAATGTCTTCTCACCAAACCGAAAGCCTAAGTTAAAAGCTAATCCTAAAAACAATCATGATATATCAGTATGACTTTATGTTATATTTGATGTACGAAATATAAAATGTTTCGTTGAAATATTATACATAAATGATATTGCGTTGTCATGGTTTTGAAGTTACAAATGAACAAAGAAAAAATAAATATATATCAGAATAAGGAAATATAAGTCATGATAAGTCGATTTTCACAACTATATTCAACGAAACTAACTATAATGTTTGTATATCTTAATTAGTTGAAAGGTAGACAAAACGATAAAACTTCATTCTATATTCAACAACGTTAACTATGATATTCGTAT